TCATGGAAACCTTAGTAACTAATCAATAAATTTATATATATATATATATATATATATATATATATATATATATTATTCGGTTTTTCGGTTTAACCAAAACAATGAAAATTTAACCAAAAGCCAAACTGAATAAGATATCCTTATTCGGTTAACCAAACCAAATTAATCGAAAACCAAATAACCCGAACCAAATAAACCAAACATCATTTGGTTCGGTTTGGTTATTCGGTTTTGGTTTTTTATGACACCTCTAGATAGAAGTGACGTCGATGGATAATTGTCTAGGTGAAAGATTTATCATAAAGCGATGTGGTCAGCAACATAGGTTTTAACTTAAAATGATGATATCATGTTAGTGGATATAATAGCTGTCATTTTATGAATATCATCTTAATTTAGATAATATGAATACAGCTAATATCCTGATAATAAAATGATTGATTACAAGCAAATATCTCTAAAATAAATGTTACGCTAACAATTAGATGTTATTGCTATCTTGTAGGTTACTAAAGATACAATGATATATGATTATAAAAAGTTTACATATGATTTTTCTTTTTGATAAAAACATTGAAAAAAAGGGTAATTCTCCTTTTGTTGTTTTAGTAATTCATACATGTTCATCATTTATAATGATATAGGAGGTTTTTAGTATCAACTTGGATTTTAAGGGTTGTGGATGTAAATAAATGGTCACCGTGTTCTAGAAATGGAAACTGTGGACTGAAGACGAAGGTTTGGAGGAAAACCACCGGCTGCGAGAAAAGGTTACCGGCAGAGAGGGCAAAGAAAACCGGGGGTGGGTTCCATTCTGGGAGCTCAAACAGCCACCTGTCAGTTTCAGCGAATGGCGTGTAAGATAATGACAAACACCCAATCCTGTTTCAGTGTATCTTCGAAGTTTTTTTTATCTTCGGCAAAATGACAAACTCATAAACCATTTACATAAGGATTGTTTTTAACAAGTTAAATTATATACATATACACAATACTCAATGTTTTAAAAACCGGTTTTTTAGTTGAACCGATATGGTGGTCGATTTTCGGTTCAACCGGTTGGATTGACGGGTCAACCGATTTCTATAAGTTTCATTTTTTTTTCTTATTTTCCTAAACATACATACATACATAAATCACGAACTTAACGTCTAAAAGTTCAAACATTAAAATAAACATAATAATAAGTTGTAGATTAATCCAAATAGATTAAAATAACATATAACCAAAAGTTTTACATCAATCCAATACGTCAAAAAAAAGTATAATACCAAAACAAAATGTAGTTTTAGATGAATACAAACGCATCAAAAACTTCATAATATACCATATGTTTTTATTTAGAGATATCTAAATAGATATAAAAATAGACCAACAAAAATTATTATGCAAAATGGTTCTTTTTCATTTGTTTTTTATTCAGTTGAACCGGTTCAACCGGTTTATTTCACTGGTTCAACCGAGTTTTTCTAAAACCGGCCGGTTTAAATCTGGTCCAGAAATAAGTATAAAATCGGTGATTGTTAAACCATTCCCTTCCCAGGTTCCTGGTTCGACCAGCCGATTCAAACCGGTTTTTTAAAACACTACATATACATGTCGTTCGAAGAAAAAGTTATATATAAAAAAGGGTTAATTTCAAAAAAAAAATACTTATATTTTGTGTTTTTTTTATTAAACCTTAATTTTTTTTTGTCTGAAAAAGACTTTGTATTTTTTTATTTTTCCCGATCTGACTATTTTAGTCATTTTTTTCAAAAAAAATTATAAAATGTGAGGGTTTTTCGAGAAAAATTAAAAAAGTTAAGGGTTTATTTGGAAATATTGTAACATCCCGTTTAAAATAGAATAAGTAAATAATTAATCCCGAACCCCGAAATATAATTTTACTACTATTTTATAGCCAAAATTAAATAATGATTAGCGGGGTGTTGGTTTCGGGGAGCCAAATGTCACGATTTAGAGTTTTGGGGGTTAAAGTGTAACTTCAAGATTTATTTTGCAAAGGATTTTAGAAGTCAGGGGGTGTTTGGTAATTAATGGACTTAAATTGAAAGGATTTGAAGGCTGAAGGGGGCTGATTGGTAATTTCGGGACTTTATTTGAACGGATATTCAGAAGGAGGGGTTTAAATGGAAAATTAAGGATTTATTTTGAAAGAAATGGGAGAAAGAGGGACTATTTATGTTATTATAGGAATAAGTAGAGACCCGGGTATATAACCGTGTTATCCCCCGTTACCTTGCAACCCTAACCCTAAATCTAATGTCAGCCGCCACCCTCCCCATCCTCCTTCTCCAGCCGCCGCCATCTGTAGCTCGCCGGACGTCGGGTGTCGCCGGGAGAAACCACCAAGACCGTTGTTGTATCAGGAAGGACCGATCGAAGGTGCTGGGTCGAGCCTTGTCGCTGCCACTGCCGCCATACGTCTGTTTCATTGAGTTGATGATGCCACCTCCGTTTCTACGATCTCCGGTGCCGCCACCACCAGTGTTGAGGTCCCTAACTAACCACTGGTGACTCCTTGTGACTCCAACGACGGGCCTGAAGGCTGATACCGCTACTATTGTTGCATTTTCCTTCCTCCGTGTCTTCTTCTTATCTTCTCTCTTCTCCATTCGACTGCCTCACGCCACCACAGGGATGGCTGGGATTGGATGCTTCTTCCGTTAAGAACTCACTGTGGTTAGAAGGGATACGGGTGTAGGTGTTCGTTTGGACAGAAAAAGACCCGATAAAAACCACCATGGTTGCCGGCCATGGTGGCTGCCGTAGATGATGAAGTTGTTGCCGCCAATGGCCACTGTTGCTGCCCGTTTTCTTGTGCTGCTCCCATCGCCACCCACCACAGGTGGGTGTTGGGTTTATTTTCCGAGCAAAAAAGGATGTGTGTGCGTGTTGTGGTGTTTGTGCTCGTGTCATGTGATGGTATAAGGCTGCCGGAGTGTCCCTTGGCCGGAGATCCGAAGAAAAACCCCACCGCCACCACCGTAGGGTGGTGGCTGCCACCGTGTACAGCCGATTGCCGCCCCGAGGTGGGTATGTGTGTGTGTGTGTTATTTGTATATTATTGTAAATTGTATTGTAATCGGTATAAGAATAATAAAAGGAAACTCATAACCACCACCGTGAGGTGGTGGCTGCCGCCTCCTGCCACCACCAGCCGCCGTGTTGGGTGGCGGTGTGCTTGTTGTGTTTGATTCATTTGGGGATACTTGGACAAAATGGGCCCAATGAAACCCTAATGGGCCCAATGAAACCCTAGTGGGCCCAATGTAATCCTATTGGGATCAATGAAGCCCAAATTGACCTAAAATCCCAACCATTTGTTTAATGGGCTAGTATTGGGTTGGAAACCCTAATTAGGGTTTGGAAAACCCTAATGCCTTGAAACCCTAATTTTGGGATTTATCGAGACCGCACGAGAATTATTTATTAAACTTAAAATAGACAAAATTGGAAAAATGGTCCCTGTGGTATGCATTTTTTTGGGGTTTTAATCCAAACCCCGACTTTTTTGGCTTCATGGTCCTTTTGCGCTAGTTTCATCGCAGATTTGGTCCCTT